GTTAAATATGACATTGTATGCTGGTATAAACACTGAATAATAGTCAAGTAAAATAGACAACACAATGCCCGGATGATGGCCGGTACGCGTGCGCATTAATTTCTGGTATGTACAATATTGAAAAAAAGATACAATTACCAGAGGACAAAAATAAGAAAAACAGTTTTACATATATTTCTGCTATTTTCAGTGAATACATGCATACTATGGGGTATCAATCCACAGTGATTTTTGTAACAATACCACCATAACAGAACGTTCTAATGTCACAGGTATTGAGTATATGCGACGCAAACTCTTCTTTAATTCACAAATACTTTATGTTTCATTTTAGCTTATTTTATCAACTATATACATAATTAACATCAAAAGACAAGCAAGGTGGATTGACCAATTTCAATATGATTCTTAAGATACAACTATAGCGAGTATAATGACGTTTTTGTCCGTGTATTGAACACATAGTGAGCAAAATATACGATATTTTCAATTTTGATATTATATATAATACTAGTATTAAATTGGAAGAATTATAACTGAAAATGAATGCGAAAAAAGTAAATAATTTTTATCAAAACAAAACTTGAATATATGTTTAAAACAGCGCCCGCAGTACGATTTTTTTCAAACAGTTTACTTCCCTCTCCACACTCGGACACTTTTGATCTGCATGGCCGCACTCTCTCCGTTATTCACTTCCGGGTTCCATGTTGGATACCAGAGATTCCTGGCCTCCCAGAAGTCTTTTGCCGCCGTCGGAGAATCATTGCTCCACGGTTTGGGATAACCACCATTTATGTTACCCTCCCAGAAAAAACCATTGGTACCACCAACAGCAACGTTCATAACTATGTAGAACTGAAATAATAATAATAATAATAATAATAATAATAATAATAATAATAATAATAATAATAATAATAATAATAATAATAATAATAATAATAAACTAGTAATAGTGATTAAAATTATTATATTGGTGTGTAAAATACACTGTTTACACTAGATTCGAGCGTCGCTGCACGACCTTATGTTCACCTCTTTATCAAATGGCGCCATTTTATTTGGACTATTAGCCCATGGGTTCATCACATCTGGTATACTCTCATGCCATCCACCGTATTTGTAGAACCCGTCTTTACCTGGGTCGACTTTTAAAATTAATTCGTCATCAACAAAAAATCTGTGGACAAAACCAAAGAAACCGTTTGTTATATACTAATGAGGGCGATGTTCGTCGGATGTTTAGTTCTCTTGTTAGGATGGGAATTCATTCAGACAGCGGATGTTCGTTATCTTCTTAAAACTTTGGCCTTTTTTAGGTAACTGATTGTTACGAAAATAAAATAATGTAGTCTAAAATAAATCTGGCGATCAATTATGTTAGTTAGAATTTACTGGTTTTATTTGTAAGCCTAGCTACTTAGTGGCTTACTTTTACAATTATCAATGATATACTGATTCGTTCATTATCATACGTACTTTATAAAATCCTCGGTCCATTCAAAACCAAATTTGTGAAAATCCGAAGCAAACGTTCCAGTTTCCAGCACCCTAAAATAACGATATGATGACACAGTTTTATATTACTGCAGTATATATATGAATAGCTAAATACACCCACAGTGCCTCCAATGAGAAGCGTCCTCTACGACAACGCGCTTCTGTGACGTCGTAACAGGATTTAAATAAAATAATTTTCTATTACTTTATCACTTTTCTCATTTTATATCTTATTATTATTATTGAAACCTTATTGTATTGTTCATTAACTTTATTTCGAATGTAACCAAATTAAGCAAAGTCAATTTTCTGAACGGTTGGAATAAAGCATTTTTTTTATCTTTTTATCTATTAATGACTGACGTATCTTTGAGTAAGCAGTGTCTTCAAATATAAAACTATGTTGTTGTGTAATCGCTCGTTTAAAATTTAATTAGTAGAAATCTAACAAATAGTTTCAACGCGCTCAAATGTGCTTCGTCGGCCGAACAAGAACAAATGTGCAAAATAGAATAGACCACTGTGCAAGCGGGTGTATCAATCGACGCGACAAAAATAAGATTTTCTTCTATCGACTATCAGGAAACTTACAAATTTGTATTTTCCGCCTTGACAAAGCAGGCGTATTTTTGCATGAAAGTTGTCTTTAAAGCTGTGACGCCACTGAAAGGTTTTGTCGCTAGAGGGCGTGCCTTATAAGAACGGCGCATTATATACGGTCAAGCATTTGCATCGGATGAGCGAGCATTATTAGCATTATCAGTATCCCGATTCCATCTATGACGTAACATGACATAACAATATTCAAGTAGTGTTTTGAAACGTACTTTGTCGCATGCGTTTTGTCCCATCCATTCCACGGCCAACATGGTCCCCAGTGCATTGTACTACCCATGCTATCCACACCCTGTGAAACACCGTCAGGAGATTTATAGTCCACGTTACCTGCAATTATAGTTTATTTCATTCATTATAAGATGGTTTGGTTAAAGTTCGTACAATCATGTGCCTGCTATACGCGATGAGGTTATATTCGATTACTAAATTATTAGTATTATTAGTAGCTTATTATCTACCTTTGGTTTCAACAATATCAATTTCCCCGGACGCTGGCCAATCACCATATTCATTATACTTCGGTAACATCCATATTGCTGTGAGAAAAATATTATAAAACGTAATTTTCCCCGAAAATCGGTTTATCTTGTTAGGGCCCTACTTTGCCGCCTTGTAATACGTTGATTGTAAAGTTTCTCGTATCATTAGTAGAACGTGTGTTCCTAGGCTGAAGGGAAACTATTTACCTGGCCATATCCAATCACCCTGTGGCATTTTTGCTACCACTTCCACTTTACCATATTTTACACTAAAACTGTGAACTGTTCGTATCCTCGCTGACTGTATGGGATTCACTATGCTGTTGCCATCTCCCGTACGTGAACACCCCCACCATGCATTGCCAGTACAGAGATTAGCCGGCGTATGACCTGCGAAAATATATTGAGTACATTGATAGCGGTAAGTGTTCACTAAATGCGGGTGATTGTATACTTTGTAGGTGTTGTTTCTTTACGACTAACAAGCCAAACTGTTGTATTTGGAATCTCGTGAACTGTCAATGGTCCGAAGACATAATTTTGTATTTTACTGAACCTCGGCAACGACAATAGTAATACCTGTTGACGTACTCGAGGGGGTAGGTGTGCTATTACCAGTGCGTGAAAGGTAGTGACGGTCGCCGATACGAATGCAATGCGATGTATACAGCACATTTAAAGCGCGGTAGTCGTTGCGCTGCGCATGTGCAGATATATGGGTCTCA